GTTGAGCTATAGGCGCCGAGCCGAGCTGGCTGGTTTGTATCCAGCCTGGGCCTGCCAAACAGCTATAACCAAACAATAGCTGGGCACTGTAGTCCCAGCTACTTGGGAGGCTGAGGCAAGAAAGTCGCTTAAGCCCAAGAGTTTGAGGTTGATGTGAGCTGTGATGCCATCACATTCTATGAAGGGATAGATAGTGAGACTCTGTCTGAAAAAAAAAAAAAGATTTGGAAAAAATAATTCTTCATTTTGTATCAAACCAGAAATAAATCCCTATAACTGAAGCAATTCTTATTAATAAGAACAAAGCTGGGGTCATCAGCCTATCAGACTTTAGGCTGTACTGCAAGGCCGTAGTGATCAAAACAGCATAATACTGGCACAAAAATAGAGAACTAGAGGTCTGTAACGAAATAGAAAACCATGAAATGAAATGAACATATTACAACATCCTGATCTTTGATAAATCGAACAAGAATATATGCTGGGTTTAGGGCACCATCCACATACACCAGGGCTGGCAGGTTCTAACCCAGCCTGGGCCTGCTAAACAACAATGACAACAACAACAACAACAACAACAAAAAGAATACTTAAGAGAATAGCTTAAGCCCAAGAGCTTGAGGTTGCTGTGACGCTATGGCACTCTACCGAGGGTGACACAGTGAGACTCTGTCTCAAAAAAAAAAAAAAAAAAGAAAAAAGAAAATAGCACACACTGGAGAAAAGAATCCCTAGTTGATAAATGATGCTGGGAGAGCGGAAACTGGATCCTCACCTTTCTCTAATCACTAAAATTGATTCATGTCTACTCACTACAATTGATTCAAGGCAGAGAAGAGTTCTATATCTAAGTCATGAAACAATAAAAATCCTCCAAGACACTGTGGGGAAAACACTTGAAGTCAGTCTGGAGAAAGCCTTTATGAAGGAGACTTTAGTGGCAATTGCAACAACAACAAAAATAAGCAAATGGGACTTAATTATATTGAATAGCTTCTGTACAGCTAAGGAGACAACAACCAAAGCAAGCAGACAACCATCAGAATGGGAAAGGATGTTTTCATATTATGAATCAGACAGAAGGATTTCCGGATAACTAGGATCTACAGAGAACTCAATCAACATAAATAAGCCAACAATCCCACATATCAATGAGCAAGGGTGATGAATAGAACCTTCTCTAAAGAAGACAGATGAATAGCTGGCAAACATATGAAAAAATGCTCATCGTCCCTAATTATTAGAGAAATGCAAATCAAAACCACCCTGACATTGCACCTAACCTCACCAAGAATGGCCCACATTATAAAATCTCAAAACTGAAGATGCTGGCATGGATGTGGAGAGAAAGGAACACTTTTACACTTCTGGTAGGACTGCAAATTGTTGGAGAGGAAGTATGGAGAACCCTCAGAGAACTCAAGGTAGACCTCCCATTTGATGCTGCAATCCTGTTACTGGGCGTCTACCCAGAAGTCCTTTTACCATAAGGACGCTTCTGCAATCCCGTTACTGGGCAGCTACCCAGAAGGAAAAAAATCCTTTTATCATAAGGACACTTGCACTAGACTGTTCATTGCAGGTCAATTTACAATCCCCAAAATGTGGAAACAGCCTAATTGCCCACCAACCCAGTAATGGATTAACAACCTGTGGTGTATATATACCATGGAATACTATTCAGCCATTAAAAAAATGGAGACTTTACATTCTTTAGATTAACCTGGATGGAAATGGAAGACACTATTCTTTTTTTTTTTTTTTTTTGAGATTGGCCAGGGCTGGGTTTGAACCTGCTACCTCTGG